AATTGATTTTGTACAATTATTTTGATACAATGATTGCTGCTTTCCAGAACTGAATGTGAGCTTATTGAATCAAGCAAGGATACCAGCATCTGAAAGTCCTCACTCGGTCAAAACTCTCATTGATTGCCAGGAGGTTTTTGACTTTGCAAAGCAGTGTCATTGCTCAGGTCCAGATTGGCTTTTCCTTCCTCCGTGGTGTTAGCTAGATAAATAGATGTGCTAAGAGGCTGGAGATGGGCATCTATCCTCGTTGGAGAATCTCAACCCAATCAATTTTTTCACCAGAAGAAAATCAATTAGATGCATTAGCAAGACAGAAAACAAAACACTGTGCTCTTTTAGCTCCCAGGAGATTGAAGAGTCAACTCAAACTGTAAGAAATAGATAACAAAGATCAGCTGCAAAGTTCAGCTCTAAATCCAGATCAGAGCTTCTGCAGGACACACGGACACTCCTACTCGTTTCTAAACTAGATGCACATTTAAAGGGTAGTCATATAAAAATCAGGTCTCCTGACAGAGCTTCAGCAAATGTCAGCACATCTGACTCTCTAAATCTCAGGTTGTCTCTGGGAGCAAAACRATGGGGTGGTGATAGGCGAGGTTACATTTCTGCAGTCATCCCGTCGTGGTCAGTGCTAGAAAATAGGATGTTTTTTCTGAACATAGGAGAACAAGCCTGTTTATTTTCTCCCATGGCCTGACACATCTTCTATAGATGGTAAAATGAGAGTTTCATGTGCTGTGTGTAAGACCAGCAGGTCCACAGGGAGACAGAACATGGTTTTAAATGGGAAACACTGTCTATTAGCCGAGGTGGACGGATTTAGTAAACCAGCAAATCTTTAAATGGAGTATTTGGATAGGATATGGCTACCAAACAGAATGAAAGCATACTAAAATGCCACTAAAGGGTCACTTTTTATTGACTCTGAACTTTCCAAATCAGGCAATTTTATAATAAATATCCCCTTGGCTGCTGAGGAGCGTAAGTRAAGTTTGCATAATGCTTTGAACATGCAGGGTGTAATGGCAATGTGAAGTTTTAATATTAAAACTATTAAATATGGTGATTCTAGAATAATCTTCCGCTGTTCCACAGAAACCTAAGATTTTATAGTATGTTTAAAAATAAAATTCCTYCAAGGAAAGAGTGTCATTTATGATCATACACTTCAGAAAGGATTACGTGCCGTGCCAAAGAGTTCCCCCGAGCTGCTGCTCCCTTCCTGCCCCCTCCATATGGGTGCTATTTTTTACTGTCCAAATGAAACCTCATTTGTTTGTCACTAAAGAGCCTTGTGCAGGCAGCTGCTCTGGCTGCCCAGGCTGCAGCGGGGAGCTCAGRGCTGTCACTGAGCAGATATATTGCATAATATTTGTGTAGAGGGCATGYGCTTGCACGGGAGCCTGCAGAAAACACTGTTGCTGTAGGCATTTCATGACAACCACTAAYGGTGAAGGTTGGGGAAAAATATCCSTRATAGTCAGATTATTCTGTAATTCCTTTCCTAAGGTCTTCTACAAACACACACTTTTCTTTGAAGCTCCTCCTGAGGTGCTTCCCGCTTGCTCCTCACCTCCTTCTATCCCTTTAGCCTGGAAGCTCCGCTGGGCCAGGAACAGCTTTTCCTGGATCTTCCTACAACATTTGACAGAATGGGATTTCTAACCTGCTGTGGTGAGACTAACGAGGAGAATATATTGCCATTTCTTCTGTTTTAGAGCCTGAATTACAGGAAGGCAAAAGTAGTAATTTAGCAGCACTGTTTTTGACTCCTCTACCTTAGCAGTTTTGGACTTTGCTTCAAAGTGAAAATGGATATGAGCAGCTCATGTGACCAAAATGTTGCTTTTTCCCCTCTTTCCACCCTCCAAGCACTTAAATTCAGATGTGGCTGGGACTGAAGCTCTGCATGTTGTTTTGGCAGGGATGCTACAGAATGGGAAGAAGTTTGATTCCTCCAGAGACCGAAACAAGCCCTTCAGGTTCAAGATTGGCAGGCAAGAAGTCATTAAGGGATTTGAAGAAGGCATTACACAGGTACAAAGGAATGATGCTGGCTGAATTTCAGGTGAAGGGTGTGTGAACATGGTAATGCCCAGTGCAGTAATCACAATCTCTGGAAATCACAATGTAGAGTTCTAGGTGGGTTTTGAGAGGTGCTCTATTGGAGCACAATGTTGACTTTCCAGGGACAYATCCCACTCAGGAGCATCGCCATGTTGTTTGTGTTTGGCAGGGGGAGGTTCAGTCCCTTTCCCAGGGGCAGCTGCCACAAAGGGGCACAGAAGCAGCTGGGATGTTGCAGGTGGCAGCATTTTACCTCCATTTGGTGACCCCATAAAAAGCCAAGCTGCTGCTCTTGGTAGCACCCATGGCCATGCTGCAGAGTTTGATCCTTTCCGAGTAGGGTACCAAACTGCACCGTTAAACTTGTGTCACTTCAGATGGGCCAGCTACAAAATTCAACATTCAATGATCTGCACTAAGCCTAGAAGACGGAAAATGTCATCCATTAAWTACAGTTTATCACCACCACAGTAAAATCATAATGGAGCCAAGCAGTGCATCCTGTTGCCAACTCTGCAGCCCAAGCACAAGAGTGAATGAGATCTGGGCGCGAAACCCTTGAGGCTCCCCATTTCTGAGCCCTAGCACGCAGTGTAGGAGGCAACTGCTCCAGTGTCACTATAAACGAGAACAACTTACATATAAATAAAAGGAAAGAGTGCAATGGGAAATGAAACGATGATGCTTTTCYAGGGGAATGGAAGGGAATCTGATTTCCAGCCTTATGGTGCAAGCAAAGCACACACTCCCTTCTCTCTAGCCAGAGAAGGAGCAAGCCCTTTAGATGSGCCCTGAACTCTCTGAAAAGTTTCCCTTTTCCTCTCTATCATTTAGGCTTCCCTCTCTATTATCTGCCTTGCAGTAATGCCCAAGAGGAGTTCAGGACCCATTTGCAAAGTACTGTAGAATTACAGAACATACAGCCTGGCTAGAGCGAAGGGACAAAAGTTCACGAAAGAGGAAGCATTCRTTCTCATGTTCATTCATTCATGTTCATTCTCATGTTGCTGTGAGAGAAGAGCAGGAGGCTCCTATAAACAAAGAACCCGAAAGTGACTTGAGGGGCCAAAACTCCAGAGTTTTATCCCAGTGAGTCAGAAACCACAGCAGATAAAGCACTGGGTAAATCCGTGTATCCCTCACTCACTGACTCCTGTCCTTCAGTTAATGAGTGGCCAAAATTAATTCCAGGAATCATTCTAGCAACAAACTACCCTCCTGCTCCTCCTAGTGGATGATTCTGCTTAAGATTTAAGCAAGTGACTGCCTCCAGCTCAGGCTTTGGAGGGATTTGGGGAGCCTGACTGCCAGGAGAGTTAAAAGCTCTGCTCCAAACTAGGGATCAGTTCTTGATAAATATTTAGTCACCACCCTGTGATGTTGAGCACCTAATGGAAGGAACCTGTGAAGGAACCAAGTTGGCTCTGGGTGTCTAGATCTCATCTGTCAGGAGACCTCAGCAAGGGCTGCTCAGCACCTTGCACATTTCTTCAGAAGCTGAGAGATGAATATCCTGACGGTCTCCCTCTCCTAGCGAGGGCACCAGCCACCTCACAGTGATTTGGYGTTTGCCTCCTTCCTAACACTGTTTCTCCTCTCATCTTTCCCCTTCTCCAACTTCCATAAGATGAGTTTAGGACAAAGAGCCAAGTTGACCTGCACACCCGAGATGGCCTACGGAGCCACCGGCCACCCCGGAGTCATCCCTCCCAACGCGACCCTCCTCTTCGACGTGGAGCTCCTCAGGTTAGAGTGAACCAGGGAGCTCCCTTCCAAGGGAGCTGCTGGAGACATCTGTCCATAACCACCCACCCATCACCTCTTCCCGGCGGTAGGAGAAGCCTTCACTGGAATCCCCATCTTCCCTGCCCAAGCTCTCGTGTCAATCGCTCCTCTCACCTCTTTTCTCTCTTTTTTTTTTTTTAATTTTCGTGATATCTGTATTTGCCTTTCCCTAGAAGCTTTGCTTTGAGAAAAAAAAAATGCCTACCTACCGGTGTAACATTTTCAAGTTGTACATTTTATTTAATTTGCATGTAACAAAAAAAAAAACAGTGATGATTGAAAATATATATAAATATAAATATATATATATATTCCTTATTGAAAAACCACTGCCTTACTGTACACTTAAAGAAAAAAACAAAAAAGGTGCTCAAAAAAATCCAGTGTACACCTTGTACATGAAGGGGCATTAGCCAAACAGAGTTACCTGCGCTGCCACTTTTCTCAACTTGTACGTTCTGCTTGCTGCTGTTTTGAAAAATACTGTCTCATTTAAAAATTAAAGTATATATATATATATAAACAATAAAATCTTGTTACTTTACAGTTTCTCCATTTCCTGTTTTTCTGCTTGTGTAAATATGTCTACTGGAACTGAAAGAAGTTAAAGTGGAATTACACCCGTTCCACCCACAAAATAAATCCTACCTATGGAATGAGGGGGCTGCTGGAAGTGTATTTTTTCAGGCTGCACTTTGTGGTTGTTTATGGATCTCACAAACTTAATTTGTACCTGGGCTCATGGCATTTGAATGCAATAAATATTGCCCAGTCTCAATAGTTATATAAATTTATTAAGCTGGTTCTCCCTCTGTAGGTAGACAGATGAACAACAAGTCATTTACCTGGGTTTCGGAGGAGAATCTATTAAACAAATTTGTCTCCATGCTGTTATTTTGGTTTGGCTTAAACTTAATTTCTAGCATACTACGCTTGTTAAACTGTTGGTTATAGTTCAATTAAATAGTCCCCTTTTTTTTTCTTTACCCTGTGCTGCAGAAAAAAAGAACATACATGGAGATCACGATGCTATTTTTGACTATAAATGACTGGCTTTTCAACTACTGTGGTTTTGATGCATTGATGTTTGCAAATTGGTTATTTTCTTGGGGGAGTATATGCAAAAAAATACAAGTAGCATGAAGAAGCAGATTGCAAARCTTAAAGCAAATGGACAGTGTGGGATGGGATGATCCTTCCTAGAACGGAAATATGAAATGAGCACAGAAAATCCAAACTGGAATCTGATCATCAKCAGCTACAGATCTTATTTCTGTAGTTATTTCTCCTGGCCACAAAGCAGCATTTTAGCATACTAATATATAAATAATGCCATCTCTTACAAACTATTATTCCTTAATTTTGGGGGGCAAAAGTCCAGGGACACCACAGTAACTAGATGACACTTTGTGTTTCACTAATAGGTCTTAAGATAGAGTAATTTTGTGCTATTAAATGGGAATTTTCCTGCTAACCAAGAGGGAAGAAGCCTGCCTGATGCTCCCCAGCTCTCCTGATGTCTTCTCAAAGGTCACCCTCTCTTTGCACTTCCCCGTGTCTGATGCTGGGCTTGATTTCAGCTTGAGTGTGTCCCACATCACAGCCCAGAGAGCTGCCTCCAGCAGCACAACGTGGCCACTGGCGAGTCTGTAAAATCCCTATTAGGGCTAGTTGATAAATTCTCTCTCCCCCATCACCCTTCAGGGACCTTGGCTGGAAGCGAAGCTGACTATTTTTCATGCCACTTTAATGAAAGGAAGTCTGAAAGGAAAGTTAGCTGTGCTTCGTGATGCTTAGGGAAATTAGGTCTTCAAGGAAATGTAATCTCCAGGTCTTTATTTGCCTGCAAATGTGTTAATTTAATTGTACCATCTATCAACAGGGTACATATAATTATTACCGCTATATAATGGATTAGAAAAATCTACTGTCATTGCCTGTGCAATCAGATAGGCTCTTGTTACTAATTTCTGAACAGTAGAGATGGAAAAAAATGACCTTCCAGGCTTAATTTCATGCCCTACTTCCTGAAATATTAAATGGAACATGAACACTTGTAAAAACAACAACATAGATGTAGAATACAAGGCTGGTAACATCTGCCTTATGTGCTGCCCCCTCTGCCATTCACGTAACTGAACTCATTTCCCTGCCCTTTCATATTACATTTCAAACCAAATTTTGAGCAGACCTCATCACCATGATCCTCTGGGCATTCGATTTCCATTCCCTCTGTCTTGCAGGTACAAATTATTGTTTCATTTTACATGCGCAGGGACCCTGGCAGCCCTGAGCAGAAGTATGAAATAGAATAYTTAATGAAAGGCAGCAGCTGAGCTCTCAGAGAAACCCAAAGCTGCTGATCTTGGGGATTCACTGAAGGAATTTTTATTAATCTTATTACCCTAAAGAATTGCTTTTTATATATATTTTTCAAAGAGCATCAAATTCTCATCAAAACAGACACTATAACGAAAGGAATAGGCCTGCCTTAGACAGAAGGAAATGCACTATTTGCTCATGATTTTAAACATATTTAATGAGGCCAACAGAACGTGACTTGAGTCTTACTTTGGTAATTTATTATCAGCATTGTTATTACTACTATCTATTATTTAATATCTATAGGTAGCAGGAATCCAGCATGGCAGCAAGCACCTCTGCTTCCTATTGCAACTTGAGGCCTTCTTAATGCCCAGAACTTTGTGGGCACCAAACCAGTTCTCCTAGCAAGTGTGTTCGTGTGTGTGTGTGTGTGTGTGTGCATATATATATTTATGTAACTTTTAAAAGCCCTAGATTTTCAGCTAGCAGTAATGCCACCTGTAAAGCTTAAGCTAAACCTTTTAAAGTCAATCCTTAAACCAGGAACCTTAAAGTTTCTGGTAACCTGACAGCTGAAGCCTGATGACCAAGGTGGCTCAGGAGGGAGCAGCTATTGCCTAAGAGTAGTGACAAGGACCAGGCTGCAGGTCCTTGGTGTTTCACCCGTTTGTGACAGTTGTACCTGGCAGGAGAGGCCAAGTGAGCCAGAGAGCTGCACAAGAGAGCAGCAATTTACCTTTACAGAGCTCAGAGAAGGGACCCCAAGTCCTGCCTGCTGCTTCCAAGTCTCCCACATCCATCCTCTCCTCCAGACTTCTCCTCTTGTGCCGTGGTTCCATACGGGGTTTTCTCTTCTGACGGACAGGATGGCTCCAGTTTCACTGTTGCAAAGAGAATCTGAAGGGAATGACATCAATACAGAGGAGACACAGAGCAGCTGCCCCCCCTTCCCTCATCACAACACGAGCAAAAGGGTGTTTGTACAAACACAGTTATAACTAAGCCGGGCCAACCCCAGGACAATGGCTGCTTTACTATTAAACAAACAAACAAAMAAAAGTTTATGTAAGACATAAACTACATGTGGAAGCTATATAGTATAAAGCAAGCCTCGATTAAACAAAATGCAGACAAGCATATTTATTCTCATACTAAACGAATGCAGTAACAATATGTTTGAAATAACATTTTCTGAAAAAAAAAAAAGGATAAAAAGTCGAAGTACTTTGTTAAGACAACATACTACACTGAGTATTTTTTAACCTAAATCACAACTCCTAAAGCAAAATATTTAATATCTGTTCARGTCCTGCACTGGCAGAAAGTTGTGCAGACACAAGTTAAATATAAAATTCAAGGTAACAAACTGTCCCCAGAGACAGGGCACCTGTAAATCACACAAGTTCTGCTTGTTCAGGACAGAGGCAGATCTTTCTTTCGAGCACCCTGGCCAGGCATACTCAGCATCACACTCATTTTTATTCACCAGACATGATGCTGATATTTTTAGGAAAAAGCCTAAGGTTTTAAATCTCTGTTTTCTGTCCAAGAGAGGGTACATCTAAAAACTATGTACATAGAATGCCTTAAACTTGAGAATAAAAACTGTAGAAAACAATCACTTCAAGGTATCTAAAATTACAACTATCATCTACTGCCTTACTTTGGCTCACATGTTCTCTATATTCAGTGGCATGAAGTTTATTCCCATTGCTTCTATTAACTGCAGCACAAATCTGATGCACGTAATGAAAATCTCTTACGGCACAAAGTCAGTCCTGCAGGTCAGTACTATTTGAGGGAAATTATTTCACTACAGCTATTCCATCCCAGTCCCTGGGAACAAGTCACCTGTGCTGTTATTTTAAGAGGCCAGTCACTTTTTGTAACTTGCAAAAGAAATTTTATTAACATGGGTTTGGGTGCTGCTTCTAGTAAGAAGTGGCCTAAAAATCAATTTACAGAGTTAAACTCCTTCAAACATTCCCAGAAGCAGAATGTCACACTACCCTCAGTGCAATATGAGTATATAGGTATGATGAGTTACCAAACCATGATTATTTTTCAATTAACAAAACCAAAAAAACTCCATGCTAGGTCACAGAGACTCTTTTTAGTTGCAGTATCTCATATTTAGTAAGTGGTAAATGAAATTCATCTCTGTGGAGACAGTTCATGCATAGCCCTTTGAACTAACTCTTCATATTAATGACAGAAATGTGGTAATTTCAGAAGGTCGGAATCACTGAACATACTTGGTCCCGTTTTGTAGGATCCTACCAGAAAGACTCAAATTAGAGCATTATATCAATAAAACAAGAATACTTAGACTTGATTGAAAGTCCCTACGTTTAGTTCAAGAACACAACAGCGAGGCTTAAAATGAGTTTTTCCAGAGAATTTTTTTTTTTCCAGAGAAAGATCAGTTTATTTTGGTGGGTCTGTATTAATTCCRTATTTTTCCTTGAGAAGCTTAAGCTGTTCTTCTTTCTTCTTTGTATCCATCTTCTGGAAYGCCTGTAATCAAGAATAAAGAAGAACAATCTCAGTACACACTGTTTCCCCAGGAACTGTACCTCATCCCAGAGAACTACATCACTATTTCATACAAGCAGTGCTGCTTAYTTCTCAACCTTGGAGGATTCCACAGTGCACTGGATATTATCAGTGCCAGAAAAGCATCAAGGACTTTGAGGGTTTTTTACTTTTAAACAAAATCTCAGACCCATAATCACACAACAAATCTTGGAGTTGCAACTGTTAAGCTTTTAGGTCCCTGCTACCTCCTCCTCCCTAAAGTGCTGACCAGAAGCACTTTTTTCATATCCTCCATCTCAATGTATTTTTTGAGCATCAAAGAGTCAGAGGTGGAATCTCCAACCAGCCCCTACCTGTCTGGATTTATTTTTTAAGAATTATCCAAGCAACTGCCTTTTCAGACTGAAAGTTGTTTATGTTAAACCAGGTGCACAGGTATCTCAACAAAATAAAATTAAAATAAAATAAAAMCCCCAAGCGTGCTTACCCTGTTTGCATTGTAGTACAAAACGACAAGGTATCTGTTGCACACGTTGAATCCTGACAGGTGATCACAAGCGTTTTTGGCATCAAAGATGTCTTCATAGACAACATATGCTGTTCCTCTCGTTTCGGGAGTGTTCCCACTGCAGAGCAGCATCAGTTTTAATATTAAACAAAATAAATATAAAAYATCTCTATTTGGATTGAGCAACGACAGGTTAGATCAATTAACGTGTCTTCGAAAAAGATGATTTTTAAGTATTTTATCTAGACACTGAAATGCATCCCTACTCTCCAAAATGATATTCCTTTACAATTCAGAGTCAAAAACTACATCAAAACCCAACAGGGCCCCATATTGGATGATATTCCAAGTAAAGCCTATCTCTCCACGGTGAGTACCTGAAGCTGTTGCCGTTAGCAGGTTGTTTTTTACAGGAATTAAGTGGGTCAGCAGTTCCCTAGACAGCAGCTCCCCAGATTAGGAGCACGAGTTGCCCTAGGAATGGTGCTCTTTGCACATCACAAGTCAATTTAAGACACTCACACCAGCAACGYTGGTGCAGCAGCACTTGGGAAAGAGCTGCGTCGCCTGCCAGGCCATCGATTCAGCTCCCTTTGCCTGAGGGATATGAAACATCACAGAAYGGYTSAGGTTGGAAGGGACCTCWAGAGATCATCTAGTCCAACCCCCCTGCTCCAGCAGGGACACCCAGAGCACAGRGTGGCATCSAGGCGGGTTTGGAAGATCTCCAGAGAAGGAGACTCCACAACCTCCCTGGGCAGCCTGTTCCAGGCCTCTGTCACCCTCACAGGAAGGAAGTTCTTCCTCACACAGGGATGGAACTTCCTGGGTTTCAGCTTACACCCTTTGCCCCTTGTCCTGTCACTGGCCACCACCAAGAAGAGCTTGGCAACTTCTTCCCTGCATTCCCCCTTCATGTACCTATACGTACTGATCAGATCCCCTCTCAGCTTTCTCTTCTCCAAGCTGAACAGGCCCAACTCACTCAGTCTCTCSTCATACGAGAGATGTTCCAGTCCCTTAAAACATCTCCAAGCACAAAATCCTAACCRTCCTGGAAAGGTCACAGAGCTGGCAAAATAATCACTCAGATCCCCCTAAAAAGTGAAGATGGTTACAGTAAACCTGATTATCAGAAGAACACAGCTCTCAGGTACTGTACTCTATACAGGTTATAAGGAGAGAACTCCTGAGGACAACGTGTGGCATGAGCCCACACAGGACTGTGGATGAAAATCAGGAGAGATTAAGAACCAAGCAAAGAAAAGGATCAAAATCATTAAAAAAAAAAAAAAAAAAAGCTCAAATGAATGATTTTACCCAATTATCAAGGAAGTTGCCAGCAGTTTTCCTGAAAAGGACATTCCTGCAAATCTCACCTGATGGACCATTCCTCTAACACTCAAATGAACTCCAGTTAATGTGAGTTCTCTCAGTGAGAGCCCCTTGTCCTTTCAGCCACTTCCCCCATCACTTTAGTTGCTCTTTGCTATGGAAGGCAAGATTTAATTGGCTCCAAAACAGCATTATGTAAAGAACTTAGTTCTCTCTCAGTTCTACTTTGTTTGCTGAAGACAGCTATATAATGAAGATATCTTTGTTCTATACACTGAATTTTTAATTTCAACAGTTCTGATTTAAAAAAAAAAAAAAAAAGCCTCTGTATTTGGGACTATAAAGCCTGGTCTGCTTAACTGAGCCCATATTTATGTCCTGCATGGTCAAAACAATCAAAACTTTTGGTATCAATGCATTGGTATCAGTCATTCTAACCCATCTTACTACCATTCTCACTAGCTTTTCCAAAATTGCAGCCTCAGTGAACTCTTTCTGCCTCAAAACAAACAAAAMCCCCCCAAGCAATTTCAGAGCTCAGACCTTCAATAGCTGATGGCACTAAAGGAAGGATCCAAGGTTTGGCTTCGGCTTGTGTAACCTCAGAGCACTAAAAAGGTCTGTTATTACAGTCAGTTCTTCATGACTCACTGACCAGGCAGTGCCTGGCGCACAGTGAGTCCTATATTACTCCGTGAGAAACAGCTTCAGGGGCAGCAGGAATTTATTTTTAGTTAGACTGGCAAACAAAATAGAAAGGGAAGCTGGCTCTGCTCAACTGCTGTCCTTACTCTGCAGGCTAGGGTGCTGCTTACACAGGTGTCTCTTCTCCTTATGAAGTTGCTTAGAATAAGAGATTCCTGGTTCATCCAACAGTTCCTATCAGAGCAAATTTTCCCCTGCTCACTCGCTTGAGATTTTTCACTTATTTTAGGGCCGTATTCTTGTCTAAAGACCTTTGTGCATAACGGAAAAGCTACACATACAACTTTGATCCACGGAGACACCAATGAAGTGCATTGAGCGTGTCCATTTTCATCTGAAAACCGCTGGAAACGGGCGAAAAGGGGCGGGCCGCCGTGGGGTTCCCGCGGGGCGCGCGGCACTTACACCCTGATCTGCCGGATGGGCCCGTACTTCCCGAAGATGTCGTACATCTCCTCGGCCGTGATCTTGTAGGGCAGGTTCCTGATGTAGAGGATGCGGTTGACCTCGGGGGGCAGCCGGATCTGCGGAGAGGCAGCGCGTTAAGGCGGCGGGCCGGGCCCCCCCCGCGGGGGTCACGCGCCGCGCGGCTCCCCGCGCCGCTCGCGGGCTCACTCACGTTGGCGCGTTTCGCCGCCTGCATCGCCATGATGGCGGCGCGCGGGGGGCCGGGGCCTGCGGGACGCGGCGGACACGCGAGGCGGCGGCGGCACGGAAGCGATCCCGGCCTGCCCCGCGGCGGCGCGCGGGAAATGACGTAGCGCGCGGGGGCAGCGCCCTGAGACCCGGCGGGTGGGAGCGGGGAGGAGTCACGTGACCCGCGCGCCGTGCGGGATCGCGCGCCCCGCCCCCAGCCCTACGTCACGGCTCCAGACCCCGCGCAACCAATCACTGTCCCGCACATCGCCCCGCCCTTCGGAATTCGCCCCGCCCCTTCACCCCTTCCCTGTTCGACGTCCCGTCCCCAGACACGCGTCACCCCTCTCGCTCCGCCCCAACCATCGCCCCGCCCCCAGCTGCCCGTCACCCCTCTCGCCCCCCCCCAACTATCGCCCCGCCCTCAGCAGTCGGTCACCCCTCTCGCCCCGCCCCGTCTGGCGCCCCGCCCCCAGCTGCCCGTCACCCCTCTCGCCCCCCCCCAACTATCGCCCCGCCCTCAGCAGTCGGTCACCCCTCTCGCCCCGCCMCCAACCATCGCCCCGCCCCCACCCCATCGCCTTAGGCGGGGGGGACCACCCCTCCCCATGGAAAATCTCAATGGGGGAAAAACCACCACAAATGAACCCAAATCTGGTCCCGGAGGGAATGGCCTCACCACGGAGCTTGCCCAGATCACGCTCTTGCCTCTGGGCTGCCAAGATGGCCGCTCCCGCCCTTTTATTAGTCCTCCTTGGCAGGAGGACTTCCGCGCAGCAGGAATTGCAGCTCCCTGTTCCCAAAGCGCCGCCAACCACCCTGCCCGGGCCTGGCGGCCGCAGCAGGCCATGCCTCAGGGCGCAGGCGGCATCTCGATGACGATTTTGCCAATGTTCCTGTTCTCCTCCATGGCGATGTGCGCCTCGGYGATGCGGTGCAGGGGGTAGACGCTGTGTACCAGCGGCCGCAGGCCAGGGCCGGTGGCCCCRCGGAGATGGGGCAGCACGGTCCTCGTGAAGGCCCGAACCAGCCGCTCCTTGTACTGCCGGAAAAAACAGGGTTTCCGCCGTTATTCCCAGGCCTTTCGGGCCCCGAGGTGTCCCTGTGCACAGCACCCAAAAATGGCCTGTTTCTCAAAGAAATTCTGGCTTTCTGACTGTGTTTCAGACACAGAAACACTAAAGTGCAAAGAAGAAACCCCTTAGATGAATTGCAGTGGCACGGGATGCAGTTCTTTTGGGTTAGACTCATTTAAAACTTCCTTAAAACTCTTGAGAGCATTAGAGATGATCTCAAGGACAAAATCCATCCTAGGGCACCTCTTTTTGCAATATTGGGCGATTTTCCACAATAAAGTCTTTTTAGTTGATACTTTCTGGGCTTCTAAATGGACCTGGTCTCTGCTCAGACACGTGTGGTTCCAGACCATTTCATACGGCTGCTTCTCGCCCTGACCCCAACTTAAAGCACTCTGATCCTTTGAATTTTGTTTCTTTTAGGACTAATCTTTCAACAGTACTTTCAAGTACTGTTCAAGGACAGAACTTAAGAAATACATATATGTAATTTTGGATCTCATTCCTCTGAATTTAGCAGTTATAAATGGTAGAAAGTAGAAAAAAAAAGGAAAAATATAACTTAATTTTGCAGTGCTTTGCTGAGCAGGTAATAATAGCTCAAAGTGTTGCTTCTTCCTTTTTCTGGTGATAATTCTTTAGATGCTACTTCAGCACAGATATGAGAAGACAACTCTCAAAACCCTCAGAGATTTTAAGATCGAACTGTGCTGTGCTATATACTGCTGATAGCCATTACTTGCCTCTTTATCTCGTGATCTCAGCAGGCTGGTGTGTATGCTTGCTCTTTTGGCAAGCAACCTCGCCAAGAAATCTCCGTGCACGTCCCCTCCGCCCAGCAGTCCGTATATGATCCACCGGCCATCAGTCTTCAGACAGTTGAGGTTCTTCTCCCAGTATGAGCCACCAACACAGTCTAAGATAATATCTACTCCAGCACCTTGGGTGGAAACAGAAGAGAGCTTAGAAAATGTAGGGTCAGTGCAAATTCTACAAATCAGTGTCTTTGAAAAGATTATTGGAAGTCCTGGTTGAAATTGAGTTGTTGCCTTCCTCCTAGAGGGTCTTACCTTGGGTGAAAGCCAAGACCTTTTCACTGAAATCTTCCGTCTTGTAGTTGAAGCCCACAGCCGCTCCAAGGTTGGCCGTCGCTTCCAGTTTCTCCTGCGTTCCAGCTGTTACAATGGGAATGGCCTTGGCCAGGCGGACCAGCTGAATGGCCGCGACACCAACTCCACTGGCGCCAGCGTGGATGAGCACGGTCTCTCCCTCCTCTACCTTTCCTGATTACGATAGGGAGCTGATTAAAATTTATCATCAGCTTGGGATGAGAACATGATGGAGGGGGACAAAAGTAAATAGCAAGCTGAAAGAGATGTCCTTGACCAAGGTAGATGTTGTYGAATATAGTTCCACAGGCAGCATGGGACATAGTGAGCAAGTTCATGACATGGGCGACTTTGCAGTGAAGTCAAACCTTTTGGCACAGAATAAGGAACTTCTAGAGAGGGTCCAGCGGAGGGCAACAAAGATGATTAAGGGACTGGAGCATCTGTCGTATGAGAAGAAACTAAGGGAGCTGGGCCTGTTTGGCCTGGAGAAGAGAAGGCTGAGACGGGATCTGGTTAATATGTATAAGTAGCTGAAGCGGGAATGCAGGGAGGAAGGGGCCAAGCTCTTCTCAGTGGTGGCCAGCGACAGGACAAGGGGCAGTGGGTACAAACTGCAACACAGGAAGTTCCATCTCCATGTGAGGAGGAACTTCTTCACTGTGAGGGTGCCAGAGCCCTGGCACAGGCTGCCCAGGGAGGTTGTGGAGTCTCCTTCTTTGGAGATCTTCCAAACCCACCTGGATGCCACCCTGTGCCCTGTGCTCTGGGTGTCCCTACTGGAGCAGGGGGTTGGACTAGATGATCTCTAGAGGTCCCTTCCAACCTCAACCATTCTGTGGTTCTGTGTGATTCTGTGGTTCTGGGAACATGTCAGTTATTTCAGGGTTTAGGCTAAGTGGAAGTTGCGATTCAAGCGCAGAAGCAGATGGAAAGAAACGTCAATCGCCTTCCATTTTCTTCCCTGTGAATACACAGTTTGTGGTGGGTGTTGCAGGACGGGGGCCTGTGCCATGCCAAAAAACAAGCAAACCAACAACCAAACAGAGGGTTTAACCAAAGGACCATCTGTTTCGATGGGAGGGGGTTGCGAGTACAAAATACCAACCTACAAAATGCAGCAGCTGGAAGGCGGTGAGCCAGGCTTCGGGAATGGCCGCAGCCTGGGTGAACGTCATGTCTGCCGGCACGGGCATGAGGTGGCCCTCGGGGACGGCGACGAACTGCGCGTGGCCGCCCCCGGAGAGCAGGGCCATCACCGGGGCCCCCAGGCGCCAGCGGCCCTCGCAGGCGCCGCCGACTGCGGCCACCGTCCCGGCCGCCTCCAAGCCCAAAATCTCACTGGCGCCTCGGGGCGGAGGGTATTTCCCCCTCCTCTGAAGGGAAGCAGAGCGAGAGACAGGGAGGTGTTAGGGGTTCCTTGTGAGCCTTGCAGTGCAAACTGGAGGAACTCGGATGAGAGTGGGACAGACTGAGATGTTTTCCAAGTTGGACTTAGCCAAGGGAACATTTCTATGGTCATCAGGTGTAAATTAAAACACAGGCAGTTCCATCTCCACTTGAGGAAGAACAACTTTCCTGTGAGGGTGGCAGAGCCCTGGAATAGGCTGCCCAGGGAGGTTGTGGAGTCTCCTTCTCTGGAGATCTTCCAAACCCTCCTGGATGCCACCCTGTGCCCCGTGCTCTGGGTGTCCCTGCTGGAGCAGGGCCTTGGACTAGATCATCTCCAGAGGTCACTTCCAACCTCAACTGTTCTGAGATTCTGTGATCTCCAACGCCCAAAGAGCTGTCTGAGCATCCAGGCAGATCAGGACTCCAGTTCCACCTCTCACCCAGTCTCTTATCAATACTTTGGGTGGGGACTTGCAAATCTGAGGTCATTTTCAACCGCCTAAACCCACTTAATGTGCACAAACCTGGAGTAAATCAGCCCTGTTGAGCGCGCTGGCCGCGACCTTCACGAGCACTTCCCCTTCTCCTGGCTCTGGTTTCAGCACTTCCTTCACGTAGAGGTTCTCGGGGCCTCCCGGGCAATCGAAATGCGCAGCCAACATCTTCTCTACCAAAAAAAAAAAAAAAAAAAAAAAAAATTAAATATGAAATAAAGACAGCAGGAGGGCAGACACACTTTTCACACAGATAATATGGGATATTCCTTGGATTTTGCTGCCTGCACAAGAAAGATTTGTGTTTTGGTACTCGGTATGAAGATTCGGACCAACCTGGAAACCTTGGGAACGTCAGTCCCCACAGGGTGGAGCTGTGTGGCTATTTCATAGTGAAAAAGCAACTGCCACCAGTGAGAAGACTTAAAGTAAAGAAAGGTTCTTCTTTTAGACAACTGTTTATTTGTTTCCAGTAATATTGTTTAATCTAATGCCACCAAATTTGCCTATTTTAGCACAGAAGTGGCATGGGAAGGCAGCTTTCCTGTGACAACAGCCCCCTGGCTCCCCTTGCATGACACGTGCTTCTAGGCTCTTTAATTTCCAAATGAAATAAATTAAAACACATAGGAAAAACGAGGGCTTTTTGGGTTGTTACATCTGTCCCATAGTCCCTTTGCCAAAGATCACATTTTTATAAAATTTACTCCTATTTACTGCTATTTACTCCTCCTATTTACTGATAGAGGCTGAGCCCCAAGAGTGYAAGAAAAAAAAACAGTAAGATAACAAGCCTGTGTTGCTTTCAAATATGAGAGTAGCGAATGTTGCTCACTCCTATTTTTATTTCACCTCTTAAATTCCAGAGATGGGCAGCGATAGGAAAAGTGTTTGAAAACAGAGATTGATTTCAGTCAGCACATTTCAAAACAAGTTTCCTCTCAGCGCAACCCTTTTAGGTCATCCGATATGGTAGTAGAAGCCAAAAACAACAACTTAAAGCAAATATTTGGGTCCTGGCTATTATTTATGGCTCACCTGTTTGCTGGAAAGAAAGGAATACTTTCTCCGTGGTGGGATGAACCCCAGCCCGTCCTCGGGAGCAGAGTTTGATCCCATTTCCCCTTCTCCAAGCTCAGCCCCTGGAATCAGCTATTCCCAAGCCAGCGAGGGGTGGGAAGGAGGACACTGTGCTTTATGTTGGAGCAAAACCCCCAAACAGAGTGGGAAATAATTGACTCCAGTCACCTTTCTTGCTCCCCACAGACCTGCTTGTCCCCCGATGGAGGCAGGAATCTCCTTTTCCCWTTGAATACAAGGTTAAGGTCTAATGCTCCCCCCACGGGAAGCAGGGAAGTTGGATCTGGAGCTTTTACTGTTTTTACTGCTCTTTGTACATGCCAAAGCAAAATTGTCAAAGAGTTTTGCTCTCTTAAGTTTGACATTTGTTGATTCAGGCTTTTAAACCTGAAATTAAATTCTTTTTAAAATAAATGAGCTAAAAATTTGTTCTTGTGGCGCTCCGGGAGCTGGTACCTCACTTGTTTCTGCAGTGGAAATGATTGTGGGGCCTGGTCTTCAGCTGGTCCAACCAGAACCTCAGTTTTGCACCATACAGAAACAGGGATCAATCCCACATGGATCCTTTGTGGCCCAAGACTTTGCAAAGACTCATTAAATCCTGGTAATAACATTGTCCCCCCTCCTCCTTATCCTTTTCCTTCTCGGAAGAGGGACGATGGAAGAGAAAACTCTGCAATTCACCACAGTTTTCAAACTTCATATAGGAGTTGATGACAGTGCAGATCAATATGTTAAAAATATGCTTTATTTTTAACATTCCAAGGTACATAGGGCACTGGAAATCTGCTAATACAGCCGTTTCCTTAGTCCCCTGGATTTGTGGGGCTGGGCAAAGCTCAGGGAAATGCTAGAACTGTCTCAGCTTAGGGAGATTCTTAGTTTTCTGATCTGAAATAGGTTAAAAATCAATATATGAAAAAATAAGCATGTTAAACCAAATGTCTTGAGGACATCAGTSTCAATTCTATTAAGAAACTTACTCTCAGGGTAATCCTCTTATAAGCAAGTGCTATTGAAAGTAGTTTTTTAACTACCGAAAAAAATAACAACAACAACAAAAAGGAAAAGGAAAAAAGATCCTCAGACCTCAAGGGAAAAAAAAAAAGTGGGATTTTTGCTGATTCCCCCTGGCAAAAGGCTTCGCTCAGKACTTGGGATGTTGTAAAACAGCAGACAGTTTCGTTCTTGAATTTAATAATTCTTCAAACTTCTGTATTAGATTTTCCAGCGCACAGTCCTTAGGAGCTTGATGAAGTTTTCTGTTGGTTCAGCTCCCCTTCTCTCTGAAGTAGTCTGCTACAAAAGCAAAATAAATAATTTTTTTTWAAAAAGGAATCAACAGTTACAGAAATCAAACACCTTTGCTGTCAAAGATGAATTTTTTCAAGTTCAAAACCATTGCAGACCCTGTTGTAATTGAACAGACAGCAGCATTTCTAGATTRACGTTAAAAATATTGGTACCTATGTGTATGAGGTTTTCTTTCTATTCTACATGGCAAAACCCGAGCATAACTTCATAACTTCAAGCATAAAACATTAGGAGAAACCTCCCATAAGATGCAAAGTCACTGCTATTTTATTTCCTCTGCACAATCACCCAAAACAGCAAGAATAACCTCAAAAAAAAAAAATCCAAAAAAAAAAAAAACCTAAACCTCTGAAAATCTGACCCTGAAGACAGCAACTTCATTCAATAACAGCAGCCCACTACAGACACTGTGACTATTTACAAGATCAAATGGCTTGTGTGCCAGTTGTGAGAGGATTTTCCAAGTGTTGGCATTTTTAGTCGTCTCCTAACTTTCTGCCTTCCTTCCGTGGCAGCATGGAAACGAATCTGAATTTGGACATGGCTCCTGAGTCAGCGAGACTGGCATGGGGCTCAAAAACACAGCAGCACCATTAGGAAGTGCTCCAACAGATCCAGTGTGAAATCGACTTAAAATACAAGGACCAGCTTTTAGATTTAGTAACACTCTTTAATCCTGGTCTAGGTGGAAACAAGCTATAGGGAAAGTTCAAAACCCTTGAAGAGCTCACGTGTCCTTGAAGTAGACTGTAAGTAAATATCAAAGCTGATGCTTTAAGGGGGTGTCTTTAAAACCCTGTGTTAATTGTATTTGTGTTATTACAGGGGAGCAAGGCACCAATTTGGTTAAGGGGAGGTAGCCCTGTTCCAGGGAACATGCCACACAGGCCAAGGAAAGAGAGTTCTGTGCTGTGTTCATCCATGTAGTGACCTTGGAGCACATTCCCTTGGACATGAGCTCTGGAGAGGGATTTCACGGATTTTGGGGGTTTCACAGATTTCTGGGATTTCTGGAATATTGTCATCTGTCCCATTAATGTCTGCAGGGTCCGAGCTAAGCCGTGAGCTGCTGGTGCAGACACTGCATTTCTCTTACCCAGTTTCTCCACGGCTTCAACACACACGCTCGGATACATGCCCGCTCTGTAGGTAGCGATCAGGATGAAAGCATTGGTCTTCACAACTATCAAGCCTCCATCTGGCTAGATAATGAAGAAAACCTGTGTAAAATTACAAGGTTCAAAAAGAAAAGATTCRTATATACATACTGCTTTACATTTTTGGCTGATGCCAGACATTTTCTTTGTCATGAAACCAGTTTTCCTGCAGAAAGAGAATACCTGCAAGCCTAGCCCAGAACACAAATATTGACAGTGCGTGTTTTTTTAAGAGTATTAACTATTAAAACAAATCAATCAACTGCTTTATTATATCGCACAATCTCACTCGTATTGATTAATGTGTCACTGCGCAGCATTTTGGAGACCTTTTACCTTAGTACTGAATGTAACATGCAAGTGAATATTATAAATTTTATGCAAGTGAATTTTATGAAACCTACGTGTCAAACTACCTCACTGATCTGTAATGATGCGGGAAAAAAAGTCACTGAAAAACACTGTGCTTTCTGAAAATCCAAATTTAAGAGCTGCTAAACTTGAATGGAGCGGTGTTCCCTGTTTCATTTGTGTCTCATAGCTGACAATTTCTGTATTCTGATCTCACCCCACACCTCCTACGTGGTACCAACAGAAAGAAAGGAACACGAGAGGGATTTCTGCTGGTGTTCAGATATTCCCATAAGCAGGCAGTGAGGGAGGAAGGCAGGAATTCTTTCCAAGCCCATTTCTCAGGAGCGCAGCAGCACTTGCCAACCTACGTTGTGCAGATAGAGGGAATGCTCATCTGCTCGGACACACTTGTAGTATTTCTGCTTGAAGTAGAGGCCTTCCCTCCTCACTTGCACCAAGTTCTTGTAGAAGGCGTAGATGAGGTTTAAAACATTCTCTTCGGGCACCTGTGTTCATAAAAGGCAGCGTTACAGACCAGCCGTGTGCAATGACAAGCACAGTTCCACCCTCCCGCTTCCATAATGATTAACTGGTTATAATTGTGGTATCTCAAAGGGAAAATAAACTTGMTGGGTTTGAAGCTAGACCTCTAGCCTCTGTATAGTGAGACAGACTGTGTGTTGTGTGCTGCTTTCAGTGTCGCAGCTGAAATTGCTTGGGCTCTGCTTGCTCTCCAGTTCCTCCATGTGTCTTTTAATTATGGTACAAGACTCTGTTCTGTAATTAGAGCCACAAGGAAGCCAATTTCAAATGATCTTTATCTAGGGAAGTGTAACCTTGAGGAGGCTAAATCCCCACATGGCAGCAGAGCAGCGGACACAGGAGCCAGGTTCAGGCTGTCACACATTCACACTAATGAGCTCCAGGGCTGGGTTTGTGCTTAACCGAGAGGMTGAAACAGCAGATTTATGCCCAGCTAGTCCATTGGGATGATCCAATGATCCCTCCCGGCCTGAAATTCCTTCAACCCAACGCAGCCGACAACAGCCACCAGCAGCAGAGGCCTTTGCTGGAGACCTCGGCRCGCCATGCACCTTGCTGGAGGCTGCGCTATCCATTAAGGAGCACGTGCACAGCAAACCCCACGGCACGTGGCGGTCGCTTACGCGGAAGCCGGCRGTGGAGGCGCACACGGTCCTGCCCTGCAGGCGCACGAGGGCCGCGCTCTCCACGTGCCGCGTGCCCAGCAGGCTGCCCTGCAGCAGCGCCTGCAGCTCCTCCATCGCCTCCCACCGCTTCCCGTGGGTGGCTCCCGCCRTGCTGGAAGGGAAAGGGAAAGGGAAAGGAGCAACGAGGGAGTGGCGGGAACGCGGCCCTTTCCCTCAGGCAGCCCACGAGTCCAGCTGTGTTTCTGCAACGCAAGCACTTCTACGTTCTTACTCTTTCTTTCTTTCTTGGTGYTTAGTTTTCCTCTCAGTGAGGAAACAGCCCTCAGTAAAAATACTAAAAGAAAATGAGGGAAAAAAAAAAAAAAACAAACTTGCTACCTTCAGCAAACCAAAGCAGAAAACTCTGAGGAACTCAGTGTTTTGTGGTAATGTAGCAAAAGCTACAGCATTTAACGAGCAACACTGACTCTGGATAGACCTTGTATCCTTATTGCTACATATCCTGAAGGTTATATGAGGGTACAGGAAAATAATGTCAGTCAGATGAGCCTGCAAGGCTTCCACTGGGGCAGCTGTCACGAGGACATCAGACTAGGTCGTTAGGAACACCAACCTCCGGCTAACGGGCATTTAACTGAACAAATAACTGACATGGCGGGGGAAGGAGGCCGCGGGCCGCTGCCATAGCGACCCCGCCGCGGAGCCGCGACTGCGCCTGCGCAGCGCCACTACCCACCTCAGTCGCCTGAACTACAATTCCCAGCATGCAGCGCGCGCACCCTACCAAGGCAGGCCGGCGGGACGCGCGCGAAGGATGCTGGGAGCTGTAGTCCTCCCCGTCGCCGCGGCAAAGCTGGGGAGAAGCGCCCTTGGCCGCTCCGCCGCCCCTCTTTCCCACTAGGCCTCCACAAGGGGCGGGAGGCACTAGCTTCTGATTGGCTGACTCGGCACCACACTCCCTTTCTGATTGGCGGAGAGCGCGGCGTGAGCGGGCGGGCTTCAGTCGCCATGGGAGCCAGGGACGCTTGGCGGACTGCGGCGGCGGCGGAGGGATTCGGGCCTCCGCCCGTTCCTCGCCCCGGTCACTGCCCGGAGCGGCCGCCGGGCGGTGCTCGCCCTGGGGACGGAGACCCGGCTCGTTCTCTCTTCCCCTTTTCCCTGGCCGCTCCTTCTCCCCGCTTTCCCTCGAGCATGACGGTGGCGGGTAGGGACTACTTTCTAAGGCGGAGGGGCACGTCCCGGCGGTGCGTGGAGAGCCCTGAGGCGGCGCCATCTTTCCCGCGCGGGGCTCCGTCATGAGGCGCTGCCACCCGCCGCCCGGGGCGCCYGCGGAGCCGGTGAGCGGCCTCCGTCCTCGGCGTCCCCTGCCCTGCGCTCACCGCCCCGCAGGGCCGTGCTGGGGTGCGCAAACAGACGTCGGTCCCGTGTGCTGCCCTCTCCGGCTGGGTTTGCTGGCGTTATCCGTTACCTTAGTGTTCTTTCTTCCACTCCAAAGCCAGGCGCTGCTGCCCAGCTGCTCGCAATCACACCTTGTTTTATCCTTTCAGACTTCAGAAGTGGTTTATGGTGTTTCTGTCATAACAGATGACCGAATTTAAGTCCCACAAAACAGTGGGTGTTCAAGCAAGTAGGTCCTGCCTTGGTTAAGCAAAAAAAGAGTTGCCATCTCCTACTAAAAGTGCAAGTCAAGTAGAAAAATAGTCTCAGTGATAGCTTGAATTTTTGAAATTAAGAAAAATATCCTGCAGCTAGAAACTTTGCCACTTGTGATTTCTTTAATTAAATAGGTTTGCCAATTAAATAGGTTTGCTCTGTTTTTTTTTTCTTTATCCTGGGATCTCATTCCACTGTCATCTCCTGCTCACAGAAAAGCTCCATCTCTCTGTCAAGCTGGATTAAGAGGGAGACTTAATATTTCTTATTGCAAATTGATGGATGGGATGGTTGCATTGTTTTTCGGTGAGTGATGAGCTTGGAAATTATTAAAGTGTATTTTCCTTATCTTAAGCTCGCCCAGGGAATTACAGCATCCCTGTCGCGGAAGACCAGAAGCCYGAATACTTCTAGCGGAAGAAAATCTGCCAAAGATGGTCCAAAGCAGGAGCCCTTGGCACCTTTGCAGGTAGATGAAGTTATATTTCTCATAGGAAGGTACAAGCACTTGTGTCATCCAGTCATGGGCATTTTTCACCATCTTCGTGTCCATCAGTCCTCAGTGTTTTGCTTGTTTTATATCATAAATGAGTTCAGTGCTAGGTCTGCTGTTGTTTCTAGTGCAGGAAATATAACGCACAGCTCCTTTAATCACTCATTACAATGTATGAAAACCTTTCAGGAGCCATGAAAACTCCTTGCAAGTTTAGAAAGGTTGCATAAACCCTGAGATCAGATGTGCTTTACAGCCTGCAGCTCAGCAGTTTGGGGCTGGGTGGGAAAAGGGGAAATCATTTTAAGAGCTGGGGAGGTTTCATGGAGAACATTGTCCCCCCAGACCCCGTTTTCCTTCTCTGACRGACGCAACACTCCGCATTTGCAGGCTAAACCCTCCTTTCCAGGTGGAGGAAGGCAGCAGGTAGCAGCTGCTTTGCAAATCATGTAGTAGTTTCCTAATTGTAAACCTTTTCCCTGTGTAATTCTGCTTTCTCCTTGTTACAAATTGATCCCGAGATGCTGGTGCACATAAAATAGAGCATGTGGAATTTCCGGGCTGGATCTCGCAGTTAATACTTTAGCATAAACTTCATCTGTTAGAACTCACTAAAAACCACTAAAATGCAGCCAGCCCTATGGTGGAATGCAGTGATTACTGAAAAAGAGCTTTTATATAACTGCAGAGGGCACAAAGGGAAAAAAGAAAAGTCAAGAGGTGCAATCTGATAAGTCTTGAAATCCTTTTGGAGCTGTCAAGCATTCTGTAATAATTTGTGAACCACTTTGTTCTTTGAAACAGAACCTGCTCCCCATTTAACGTGGAGCTCAAAAAAGACATTGGCTAATGGAGTTAGAGTCCAGCTGAAAACCTAACATTTCATCTCCTTCAGTGTAATTTACTGTAGTAGAAAAGAGACTGTTGGTATCTGCTGACAGCAGTTAGAATTCCTTTGCAGATTTGTTATGTTGTTTGGCAAGAATTGTAAAAAAAAAAAATTTATATTTATATTTATATTTATATTTATATTTATATTTATATTTATATTTATATTTATATTTATATTTATATTTATATTTATATTTATACTTTTGAGGCTTTATATAAAGGAGTTTTTTCGAGTGTTTTAATGCTTCTCCCAGGCTAGTCCAACAACATGTTTGTGGATAGCCCAGAGTAACTTACTGGTTGCTGAGACTTGAGTGTCCATGACTGGTTGACAGCAAAACCCTTAGCAGGTGCATTAGTCTACTTGCCATCAAGTGTAAATTTTGCTGTGAAAAAAAMCACAGTTCTGGACATCAAAAATCAAGACCCCAGGACATCTGGGTGTAGTTGAGCTCCTATGTTGGGACTCATGACTCAAGACCCACTGAATTTACCTGCTTTCCAGGACAGCCTTTGTGGCGTGTGCCCGATTTCATTCCTGAATCCTGCTTAGATCCTGGGGCCATCCCTTTTGAAGAGYATCTAAACAATTAAAGTCCTTACTTTAAATTGCTGTGTCCAGTTTCCGTCATTTTTGTTTCATCTGGGTGAAGTGTTGCCTTCTTCCTATCCTATAATATTTCTGAGAACTGCTAAAACAATGCTTTGTTGCCCAGCCTGCTATATTATTTGAAACACAAATAATGTTTACAAGGCAACATGATGTAGAGATGTTAGGTAAATTTACAGTTATACCCCAGTTTGTAACCTGATTGTAGAACCTAGAGGTGAACCTGATTTTTACAAGCAGGGTGACTTTTAATATGGACCTTTTCCTTTTAACATCTGTTCAGAGGTTCTCCTCAGCAGCAGCGAAGAGCACCACAGCAAATACTTTTGGCTGCAGTGTTTGTTTGGGGAAGAAAAACACTACCAGAGATCAGCTAACACAGAAGAACTTCCATCATGTGAAGGTGGGAATGACAATGTATTTTCAAGGCTGGAATGAAAATGATTTTGTGCAAATTCCTGTACAGTCTGAGGTGTATGTGCCGTTGGGAAGAGGAATGAAGATCTTTAAAACTGTTAAGACATCCTTTGAAGCAGCCATATTGAGTTCCATGCAATTTGGAGTGTGGAAAGGTTTCACATGATGCCTTAGACAAGTTTCTGGCTAGCTCTGTAATCATTTTTCCAAGTATCTCATCCTTAAGGGAAGCTTTTCACTGTTTGTCAGTGCACAGTCTGTGTGAGTCTCTGAGCTCGAGAGAGGGCTGAGCTTCCCTGTGTTCACAGAGTCATAGAATGGTTGAGGTTGGAAGGGACCTCTAGAGATCATCTAGTCCAACCCCCCTGCTCCAGCAGSGACACCCAGAGCACGGGGCACAGGGTGGCATCCAGGCGGGTTGGGAAGATCTCCAGAGAAGGAGACTCCACAACCTCCCTGGGCAGCCTGTTCCAGGGCTCTGTCACCCTCACAGGAAAGAAGTTCCTCCTCACCTGGAGATGCAACTTCCTGGGTTTCAAATTACACCCATTGCCCTTGTCCTGTCACTGGCCACCACTGAGAAGAGTTTGGCCCCTTCCTCCCTACATTCCCCCTTCAGGTATTTGTACATATTCATCAGATCTCCTCTCAACCTTCTCTTCTCCAGACTAAACAGGCCAAACTCACTTAGCCTTTCCTCAYACGAGAGAAGCTCCAGTCCCTTAATCATCCTTGTCGCTCTCCGCCGCAYCCTGTATTGCTAAGGTGCTGTTTCTGGAGGGGTGCTGTGATTTGTGGTGCAGATTGGCTGGGTGTAACATAACGTGCTGCCTTAAACAGAGAYATTGTGGCCAAGCTCCATTCTCAAATGGCACCAGCCTGCAGCACAGCTGAGTGTGAGCTCACTCTGGATGCCCCAGGAGGGGGACAGTAGGTGTAGCAGATGTTTTCAGCCTTGCCCCTGGTTTAGGTCTAGGTTGCAAATAAAGCTGGGTTAATGTAGTATTAATCTACTTACATTGGTGGAAATGCTTAGCATAGATAAGCTGAAAGGAGTTTAAACTTTCAGTGATACCTCAGCTGACGTGAGTCTGAAGTGCAAGGGCTGCTGTTCTGAAACCATGTTCTTAGTATCCTGATATTTGTGGTGTGGAGAACAGTTTCTCCCCATTTTAATCTTCAGAAAGGGTAAGATGAGGATGGTGCTGGAAAACTTCACTGATGCTTTGAAGGTTCTTGAGTTTTAAAAGGCACACAAATCCACAAGCAGAGGGAGAAGCAAAGCAGTTTCCTATTTTGGAACGGTTTCTCATTATCTTCCCTCTTACTGACTTACTGACTGGCTATTTTCTTCTGTTTCCTTTTTATACTTGGGCACTTAAATAAACTTTATACAGCTATCACGTTGCTGCTGCTACATCTACAGAGTAAATCCAGCAAGGATTTTGTTGTCTGGGCAATCTCCCTGCCTCTGCCTTACAGGATAACCTTAACCACAGCACAGTAATTATTCCAAATACAAAGGTAATTCTCACTCCTCTTCCCATTTTCTGTTGATTTTTTGTTAGGCAGAATGTGATGAAAGTCAAGCCATCATCACTCGTGCTCAGTCTGTCTTGGAAAGAGAAGATTATTTTGTTAGGGTAAGGAGTGATGTCTCTTTTCTCACTTGCAGTTTGCTTTCCTGCATGTCAAAGTGTTTTGCTACACTAACTACAGCTTACTGAATTCTGAATACAGGGTATAGCTGGGATTTTGTTTTCCCATTCCTCACTTAGGAGGTGGACAGGTATTTGAGGCACAGTGACTTCTTGCACCTGAGAAAGAAGGAGATCCTGTATAAGAAATGGCTGGGGGATGTTTCGGAGCCCCTGCTGCAGAAAATCGAGGAGAAAGTTGACAGCAAATCGAGTGAAGAAATACGGAAAAGGAACGAAGAGCAGCTCTCCCTCTATATAGACTACTGTAACAAGAAGGTATCAACAAGGAGTAAATTTCTATACATTTCTTGAGGTTTGCAGACAGGGGAATAGAAACAAGCCTTGGATTCTGTAGTTCCAGGTGTTTCAGTACTCAAAAATTGCTGTCACTCTAGGAAATATTTGCTTGTTTGTGTATTGAGCACCACATGCCATGACTTAAATTGCAGCATACAGAGAGGAAAAAGAACAAGGACAGCATTTGGTCAGCCCAAATCATGGTGATTTCCTGCTGCCAAAAGATTTTTTGCTGCCTGGCTGGGGTTGGTGAAGGTGACACTCTGGTCTTGTGCTTTTTTTCCTGTCTTTGTCCATTTTCCCTTAACTGCTTAGATTAACTGATTAGATTATACTGTTTAAAGTATAATATATAAATATATATATATATATAATATATAAATATATATATATATTTTAAATATATATATATAATATATAAAGTATAATATTTTCAGTTCTAATCTTGAAATCACGTCCAGAGAGATGCATAAGAAAGGACCTGTGTAAGGATTTAGAGCGCCAGAGGTTGGATGCTCCTGGGACCTCAGGAATGTTGTTTCCCCAGGAAAGCCAGAAATCTTAACTAGAAACATTTTGCAACAATGAGACTGACCTGAGATATTAGGTGGAACTATTGTGTGTGCCCCTGTAGCCATTGCTGGTGGCCTCTGTTCTTTTAGCTTCTCAACTTTATTTTCTTGTCACTACAGCCCCTGTCAAATACAATTTCAGTGAGTCTAGTCTTGTTGGCTCTAAACATTGCAGTGTAAGTTGGAAACAAATAGATGTAATGGATTCCTCAGCACGTTCAGCTTTTTGACAGCCCGTTGGATCTGTTGCCTTTGGGGTCTGGACATGAGCAATGAAGGCTGCAGTGGTGCTGCCTGCTTCTCCTGCAGGGCTACGTGGCTTTGGACACTTACAGCCCTTCCGAGTACGATCCGCTTTTCCTGAGGACGTCTACGGACTGCTGGAAGGTGGGATGATTATTTATGTTGTGGGTTTTCAAAGCACCCTTTGACCTGAGGGAAGCTTAATGGTTAAAGAGGAGGTAGTGTTTTGTTACTGACTTGCTGCTCTGSGGCTGGTGTAAAGCAACACATCCCAGTTTTACAGGCTGAGCAAATACAGATCCCARCTGCTTCTGCAGGAGTGTTTGAAAACGGGTGTCTCTGGGAATGGGGTTTGGGGAGTAAACACAGGCTGGAGAGCACAGGAGGCAGTGGGAGCAGGTCTGTTTCCCTGTGTTCATGTTCAGTGGGGGTCACGTGGGAAGCCTCCTGTCTAAGGAGGGTTGGCTGCCTGACAAAGTGCTTGTGGAGCAGGAAATAATTCTCCCTGTCACAGGTTTCAATACCAGCTTTGCAGGATCCGCTGTTGCAAGACATGCAGAGAAACCTTACTGAGAAAGGCATCATCAAGCAGTGTGAAACAGGTATTAAGGTCCTCAGGAAGACTTTTCTTAGAAGCACCTCGTATTGAGGGCCACCCCTGCTTGGGGCAGTAGATGCTCACTCTGTGTGTGTCACCTTCCCCTCAGGAAGGCTCTGTTCCTCCAGAGACCTGAGCGAGCTGCGCAGGGCACAACTGCCGCTGCTTCCCTTAGGCCGGCAACGCGTGGATGCGGCCCAGTGGCCGAGGATCCTCCACGCCTACATTGCCAGCGAGGTCCACCAGYGGAAGCGGTAAGAAAGAGCCAGTGTGCTTGGAGCAAGGCTGCCCTGGGGCTGCAGCAACCAGCTCTGCGCTTGGCTGTGGAGGAAAAGGGCTAAAAGTGTTGAAATCTCAGGCGGAATGCAGGTTTTTGCCTGAGTAAAGAGTGTTGGGGAAGGGAAAACCTTCAGGATGTGCTAAAAGTTGAGCTTGGTAGCTAAGCTGAGCCTTGGAGTAGGCTCSGGTGGAAAGTTTCATGCTGTTTCTGTAAAGGAGCTGCTTGTCCTCAGGAGCTAAACAGCACTACGGAGAGCTGCACCCAGAGCTCAGGTTCCTAACAGGTGTTTTTTGCCTAGAGGATGCTTAGATTCCAAGCTCAGCAGCAGTCAGTAACATTAAAGGGATGTGGTAAAATATAAAGAAAAGGAGAAATGATCGTTTCTGGGTCTGCACGTGGGCTGAAGCAAAATGCTCAACTGGGGTCCTGTCAGTGTCCTGGTGAGGGTGAAGGGTGTTGAGCAGATGGAGCTGCCCTCAGTTCTGGGCTCTGGCAACTCTGCAAGCCCTGCGCTGGCACCGCGGTGGCCACTGCTGCTCTGCTCCCCGGGCTGGCAACAGCAGAGAGCCCCAGCTGGCCTGCCCCACAGCGAGAGCGCCCTTTGGGCTCAGTGAAGGGCAGGTTCTGCTTTGTTCTGAAAGTCCCAGGGCTCTCAGGCTGCCCTGCTGAAAGCTGGTTCTGCATCTCAGTACGCAGCCCCTAAAGGAACTGCCCTTCCCCAGCGACAGGAGCATCAGAGCTGAAGTGAGAGCCTGATCTTGTCCACTCTATTCCTGCTTTCCGTGCTGCCCTCCTGCACTTTTTTCATACAAGAATTCTTGTAATGACTGTTATTGACTCAAGGCTTCATCCTGTGTGTGATTTAAAGCTCTTACAGGTAATTTCAGGTTTTAGGAGGAAAACTAGTCACAAAACCCACATTTCCTGCAGTGACTCAGCGGGGAAAAAGCTAGTGCAGGAAGCTGGGCTGGGCTGCAGCAATCCCAGCACTGGATGCACTAATAGTAGTTTCTATTTCTGCTTAAAGGCGCAAAGTTGTGGAGCCCCCCAAAGACAGCAGGAGCTCGGGCCAGCTGTCCTCACGCAGCCATCAGTGAGAAGGTACCGCTCAAACACACATGTCAGAGCGCCTGCCAAAGCAAGTGGTAACAGAGCCGTCAGTCTGGTAGTCTGCAATAAACCTGGCCCCTTATACATGAGATTCTGAAGTAATTTTTACCACGTCAGCCAAAGAAATGTAGGAGATGTTGCTCCTTTTATTTCTCGTTACAAGTCTGTAACCTGTGTGGATCCAAAATAATATTTTAGGAAACTTAATTTAAGCTCGGCCCTAGGAAGACATTGCAGAAGTTCTCTAGTTTATTATAAGCTAATGGGTGTCTTTGTATTAAAAGAGAAAAATAACAATTAAAATTAGAATTTCTAAGCCACTCTTGTGTGCTTAGACTCTGTTTCCCCAGGACTGGAGACAGCTACAAGTCTGAATCTGCTGTATCCCATATTACAAGAATATTACATGAATTACAGGAAGTGTGAACCTAAGTAGTGGTCAGAGGGGAAAGCAGATTTCGCCTCCAGCTTCAGCTCTTCCCACTTTGCAAAAGGAGCTCAAAGAGGTTAACTGGGGTGAAGAACCAACCCTCTCTTTAAAGGACAAGGGAGGTGCTCTTGGCTTTGTGCCTGGCTGGTGGACATGTGGCAGATTAGAAAGCACCAAGCAGATAATGATTTTTGTTTTCTTTAGATCTCCATCAGAACTCAATTACTGAATGCCTTGCAAAATAATACTAAGGTGCTACTACCAAGGCAAGGTCATTAGAAGATTTGCTCTGACAGCATGCATGAAATCAACCTGTAAAATGCATATTCATTGCTTGGAGAGGCAGGAAATAATCATATGATCCACAGCGGGAGATGGTATCTCTTTTTGTTGAGAATGTCTAGTACCTTTCAGCTGATCACCAAGCAACAAAAAACGAACAATAGAAGCTGCCAGTGCCCTATAAATTATTTCCTTACTGTGCCCTCAGGGTTCCTGTGCTAGTTTGACTCCATAGGAGCTTAGATGTAAAGCCTGACAAGACGCAGAGTTTTCTCTGTGCAGACAAGTTCCTATCTCCGCCCATACAGACACCAGCTCTCCAAGAGTTGCCAAGACTTGGTTTTATTTAGGGTTAGAACTTCTGAGCCCTGAGACCTGGCAGGAGGGACAGCAGGGCCTGCACTCAGGTGTGGAGCCATCAGGAGCTGCTCAGCTCCCGGGATAAAAAGGGGCACGCGGCGCTCGGAAGTGCTGAGGTGCTTTATCAACAGAGCAGCTGAAGGAGGCAGTAAAAGGACAACAATATCAACCACTTCATCAACAAACTCTCTTTTACCATCCCCGACACGAGCGCCAAGAGAAAGATGGTGTTTTACAACCACTCTCATTTTACAGATTCTTGCAGGGCTTAGCAGCTGCCCAGAATAAACATTTAAACTTATTAARCTTCTCTTGAATTCAATCTTTTAGGTTTTTCTCATTATTTCACATTCTCTGTACAATAAAATATACTTTTTTAAAAATCACTATGCATCAATAAACATCTGTAGACAAATTACATTAATAAACTTCATATCTTTCTCTCTATATACATGTTGGCAATGACAAAGCTTCAAGATTCAGGTGGAGGTCTGCAAACCCGAGGATATGTACATAAATAACTTAGAGTTAGGAAAAAAATCAAAAGCTGAAGGGTATTTTTCCACATAAATGTGGGTCACAGTATTTAAAATATTTTTATAGTTGTTCTTTACAACCACATTGTCTCAGCAGAGAATGATTAAACGGAAGCAGAAAGAAAAATCAAGTTGCAGCGACGGATTCAGTGCAGAACTAAGTCAAGTAAAGAACTACACTCGATTTTTAAGGAACATACAAGGTATTGGAGATTCCTCCAGTGCTAAGGCTTCTTCAGCTTTTCATCTTTAAAGTTATCATCCTGAGATGGGAAGGTTCCAGTGGATATCACTTTTCAGATTCAAATGGAATGATTTATAGCACTAAACTAAACCATTCCTCAGTCTATATGCTAGACTAAGTGGTAAAATACATACATCTTGATGCCACATTTTTACTTAATACTTTTTATGGCCCTGAAATTGGAAACATTGGCATCTAAACCCAGCATATTTCAATATAAAAAGGCACTGAGCTATACTACTGTACACATACACGTATATAGTGCACATGTATGTATGCTGGATACAGTAACATTTTTGTTTGCATAGATCAACAGCAACTTTGAACACAGCAAAGAAGTCACACACAACCAGTAACCAAGAGGAATATGGAAGCAGCAGGAATTCTTGCTCAATAACCAGCTTAGGGCAAAGAAGCTTCATTTGTCCTTCATAAATAAAAACGTGCTCTTAAAGGAGTGTTTTCTGCTCAAAGAGCTGCAGGTCGAAACGCACCCAGACTTCACCGGTTGGAACTTCATGCAGCAGCAGGTGTTTAGTCGTGGGTCCCTTGCTCTCTTGTTCTGTTCTGATCTTTGCTACTGGAATTTCAGTGCGACCCAAAAAATCTGTTGGAGAGAGGCAAACGAGTGGGAAATGTCATTCAGCAAAGACCTGTTGGCTTGGAAGGGTTGAAAGCGCAAGGTTAAACAGCAGCACTGGGAGTCTACAGACCAGAACAACGTGATGCCAATACCAGCTAGAGAGGACACTGTCCCTGACAGGAGGGCTCAGGTCTACGCAGCCGTTTCTCCAGCTGGCACACGCAGCATCCTTACAAACCCTTTTTTATTTCTATCTTTTTCTGCTTTTCATCTTTTACTGCTGTCGTTAAGGTTGCTGTAGGATCACACTTGTGTCTGTAGCAGCTAGAAGTGACGACGTGGGAGAATCTCAACAGACAGAGCAAGGTCATAGGCACTAAGTACTGAGTACCAGAGCATTAGCCTCAGGCTTCCTTGTGACTGGACTTACACTCTTGTGTAAATCAGACAGTAGGACCAAAAAAAAGGGGGGKTTTCAGAAGACAAAATGCTATAGAATTAGAATGGAAAACATGCCTTTATGTCGCAGCTTGATCTGAGGGYTTCAGAAATATCAGTTCTCTTTTCAGTAATGCTGTTTCAAATGTCCTCCAGACTTTGTGTTGGAAGAACAAAACTAAGTGATGAAGCACAAAAAAAAATCCACCTATTCTGGCTCAGCCAACTTCTAATTAGACTTTTAGATAGATAAATTGATTGACTGATCAATCATGGTTTTCACAAGGACAATGATCCTGAAAAAAACACTCTCACTAGTAGGTTTACAGTCCTGTTGAAGAATGATGTAGCTTCTTTGTGGCCATTTCATACACAGACGGGTATGGGCACGAGTGGATGTGTATGGAGAGGTGCTGGTTTACCAGGAATGCCCAGCAGCAGCTGCAGGAGCGTCACCAACCCCATGGAGCCACAGGAATGGGCAGCAAAGTCCCACAAGGGGAAGCCCAAGCTGTGCTTACACATGTGACAACTCCACTCACAGCAAGACACGGCTTATCTGTGTATCTGTGTATCACTGCCCTGAAAAAACGTTGTGGTCCTTTCAAAGCCTGCTGCAAACTCCTGCTTGGCATGTGCTCAGTTGACAAGGGAGAAAAGAACAATCTGCAAATACAACCCACAATCTGCAAATACAACCCAGCACCTTATTTTCAGTATTGGCTGTAGTGATAGAAGCTGCAGTGAGAGTTCTGCTTTCAGTGGTTCTGCCTCCCCAGCTTAACAAAAACCAATTCTGTTGTTGAAGCATGAGATGGGGTACGGTGTGGCTGCCCAGACTGCCCTCTTGAGGAAGGAGCCCTAATTTGGATGGGTTTCTCAGAAAGTGATCACATCTGTAGGCTCTTGGTGACAAGCTMTAAACTCCAAGTCAGACACAGACAAGAAAACCCACATTCTTTTCCTGAAAACAGATGTTTGCACTTACCATCAGGTGCAAACTGATCCCTGTCAAACACAGTGATGCAGAGGACATCCTGATACAGGTCCTTAATGAAGAACTGGCAGGTGAAGTTCCACTTGGGGTTGAGGGTGTCCTGCACAGTCCGCGTCGTGTAGCTCTGCGAGCCCATGCTGATCTCACAGTACGGGTTGCTCTTCCCTGGACAGAAATTAGGGAAACCCCTCAGTGATGCAAGGCTGCTGGACACATCAGCCCTGCTACCACCCAGAAAATGGGGTGGTGCAACCCCTGTATGTGAGACAGCACAGAGCTCATCCTTCACAGAACCACAGAATGGCTGAGRTTGGAAYGAACCTCTAGAGATCATCTAGTCCAACCCCCCTGCTCCAGCAGGGACACCCAGAGCACGGRGCACAGGGTGGCATCCAGGTGGGTTTGAAGACCTCCAGAGAAGGAGACTCCACAAGCTCCCTGGGCAGCCTGTGCCAGGGTTCTGTTGCCCTCACAGGAAAGAAGTTCTTCCTCACATGGAGATGGAACTGCCTGGGTTTCACCTTACACCCATTACTCCTTGTCCTGTCACTGGCCACCACTGAGAAGAGTTTGGCCCCTTCCTCCCTACGTTCCCCCCTCAGGTATTAATACATATTGAGCAGATCGCCTTTCAGTCTTCTCTTCTCCAGAGAAAACAGGCCCAGTTCACTCAGCCACTCCTCATACAAGAGATGTTCCATTCCCTTAATCATCTTTGTCGCTCTCCGCTGGACCCCCTCGAGAAGCTCCACGTCCCTCTAATACTGGGGAGCGCAGAACTGCACACAATACTCCAGGTGCGGCCTCACCAGAGCTGAGCAGAGGGGCAGRATCACCTCCCTTGACCTGCTGGCAACACTGCTCCTGATGCAGCCAGGAGCCCATTGGCCTTCTTGGCCACGAGGGCACACTGCTCACTCATGGTTAACTTGGTGTCAGCCAGGACTCCCAGGTCCCTCTCCGTGGAGCTGCTCTCCAGCAGGTCAGTCCCTAATCTGTACTGGTGCCTGGGGTTATTCCTCCCCAGGTGCAGGACCCTGCACTTGTCACGTGGGCCTCCAGAGCCCAGCAGTGCCCAGTTCATTCAGTGCAGCTGAAGCCACCATGTTCCCAAGTC